CTTGAAAAAGCCTATAACTGTGTTTTTGAACTCTATATTCTCCATTTCTTTCATTTGTGACCTGTTTCTTTGTCTCCACATTTTGGCTGCTTCTCTGTGTTGATAGAGTGGCTTTGTATGCTAGGTGTCCTATAGGGCCCATTGGCTCAGCCTTCCCAGTTACCTGAGGTGCATCCCTTTGTGGGCTGTGTATACAGTCTTGTTGAATTTAAGCCTTTATTGTTGTTGGTATCACTGGGAGGAATTGACCTTTAGGCCAATTGGCTGTGAGGATCAGCTGTGTCTATGATGTGAGAACTTCAGTGCTTGAGACACTCTTATGAGGCAAGACTTGCTTCACTGGGGTTTTGGTGCTCACTGAGTCTGCCCCCTTAGTGTATCCCTTATGAATCTGAGGAGTTGTAATCTGGATAGTCCCATTCTGACTACTGGGTACATTGGCTCTTGGATCTCCAAGTAGATGCTAATTTAGCCTCTGCCTGAGGCCACCCAGCAGGAGCTACAGAGAGATCTGCAAATTCCTCTTCTTTGGGTTTTGGAGGTTCCCAGATGAGGCCCAGCTGTAAAGCAATGCAAACTACTGTGGGGCCTTAAGCCTTCTTTTGGATGCTCTGGGCTTCTCTATCTCAGCTGCAGTTTGTTAGGTAAGTTTAGAAGTCAAAGGATCAGGCCATTCATATGCAAAAGCCTCTGTGCACAGTTTGGGTAGGTCAGGGTCTCAGGGCAGAGCAAACAGCAATGACTTCCCGTCAACCCTTTCCTAATAGGCCCCCGGGTCTCAGTGTCCCTTGGTAATCACTGCAAGCATCTTTAAGAGAAAGCCGCCCTAGAGTTCTGCCTGATGCCAGACAGTCCAGTTTCTCCCCTTATGAGTCTGGGTCCCCAGAGTCTCATCCGGAATTGGAGTTCAGAGCAGTTGGGAGCTTGTGTTTCCCTCCCGATTGAAAAAGACAGCCGCATTCTCAGTTGCCAGCCCTTTCCGTTCTCATGCGCACCTTCATACCTCTGCACTTTACTCCGCAGCTCCTCTGAGTCTCAGTGTGCGTTTCTTTTTCCTTCTACTTGTAGAATTTTCACTCAGCTAGCCTTCATGTGGTTCTGGATGATGTCCGTTTTTTAGTTGTAGTTTTGAAGTGGTTGTGCAAGGCAACAAGTTTAGGTGTTTACCTATGCCACCATCTTTGTTTCTTCCAGTTTTTTTTTTTTTTTTTTTTTTTTTTTTTTTTTTTTTTTTTTTTTTTTTTTTAAGTTTCTGTTGTTCGTTATATTATATCCCCAGCATCTAAATCATCCTGAACACTGTAGGTGGTCAGTAAATATTTGGTGAATAAAGTACGAAAAGAGGTCACATAGATGTAGTGGAAAGACTAAAAAGGGAACCTAGAGGAAGCTTCTGATTCCACTTTATTGTGGGTCCGGTGTCTCAGGGCAGAGCAAACAGCAATGACTTCCCGTCATTTGCAGATCCCAGTTTGGAGCCAAGGAAGCCATGTCAGGCAGTTGTATTGTAGAAAAACAAAAGGAAATTCCCACAGGCACATCTTTACTTCAGAATGCAAAGTCCTTTGCAGTCTGGTGGATATGAATTAGCCTCCTGGTCTCATTCCCCGGAGATATACCTGTATAGCCTGTCTTTTCACACCTTTGTGCCTCAGAAACTTCTAGCACATTCATAGTTTAACCTAGTAAGGCTGACCTTGATGTCCCTACCTCCCAAGCTTTCTGAGGACTTTCAGTGAAGATTCGTCCACTTCTCCTCTGGTTCCTATTACCTGTTGTTTATAATTTTCTTATAGCATAACACTTGAAAAAAATGTATCTTCATATATATCTCCTTCTCTCCCTTCGAGACAGGGACTCTGACTCACTCCTTTTCTGAGGAGGGGAGGACTGATGCTTCCATTTCCCTGCCCTTAGTCATGCAGGGCTTGGCACATGGTGGAGTCTCACCTTTGCCGAGTAGCATTGATTCTGGTTAATCAGATGAACACATTATACAGTAGAACACATTTCACAATATTCTTCCCCTCCCCATCCTGGGCAGTGACCCGCTTTGTGGCTGGTACACCTTGCTCCTGGCTCAGTCATACTTAGAGCAGGGGCACTGCTATTTGCTTTTCTTAGTCCTGACTCCAGCATTCTCCCTTTGATCTCTGCCACCTGCCCTGGCTCGCCCCTGCCATTGTCCTGGGCAAGGAACTTAAGTTTCTCCTTCCCAGACTCAGGCCTCTACACCTCTCTCCCCTAGCACATTCTGCAGATGCTGCCCAAGGAATCAGTGGTGACAGGGAATGGCTAGAGAAAGATTAAGGTTATGGCTTTTCAGTTCCTGAGACTTCCAGGGAGGGCCAGCTGTCTTTTTTTATGTGTTCCCTTTTTTTCTCGTCACCAGAGGAAGCTTGTTCCTGAGCTGGATGGAACATATAAGCAGATGATCTGTGATTTGAGGGATTGAGGGTTGTGATGCTGGGAAAGGCCATATTTCCCTTTTTAAAAAATTATTTTATTTTATTTTATTGATTGAAGAGGGGAAGAGAAAGGGAGAGCGAGATAAAAACATCAATGATAAGAGAGAATCATTGATCAGCTGCCTCCTGCATGCCCCCTACTGGGGATATAGCCTGCAACCCGGGCATATGCCCTGACCAGGAATCAAATCATGACCTCTGGTTCATAGGTCAACACTTAATAACCACTGAGCCATGCCAGCGGGCTACATTTCTCTTTTAATGAAAATTCTGCTATTCAGAGAAGTAAATAGGGTAGTCATTATATTTATGGGCCCTGAAGTCAGACTGGATTCTAACTCTGTCCCATCACTTAATAGCTGTGGCTTCCTCGGGGAAATGGGACATACTGTTGCCAACCATGTTCATTTATGCTCAAATAGTTAATTGCTCCCTTACTGTGGGCCAGGTTGTTCTAGGTGCCAAGGAAATATCAGTGAATAAGACAAAATGGTCTAGAACAGTATCTAACACACAGTAAATATCAGCAAATGGACAAATATTAATTTCCTAGTCCTTTGGCAGCAACTGTAGTACCAGATCTCTCTGAGAAGGGAAAGGATAGAGGGAGGGCTAATATATATAGGTTCTAGATTTGGACTTAGGTCAGGACGGCACTGGCATTCGTGGCCTCTCAGTCCTGGCACTTCATTTTGAGACTAAGTACATGAGCTGACTACAGATCACCCAGGAAAATGGATAAGTTTGTTTAGTTCCATAGAAAGGGCAGGAGGAGATGACCCTGGCTGCCAGGTTCTACCTAGCCCATTTGTACAAACAGTACAGTGCCAGCCAAGCTGTGTATGGATGACGCAGAGAGGCCACATCTCTTGAGCAAAATGAAGGGAGATACTAGAGACATGAGGTAGAAGGGAGGGCTCTCTGGCTGTGGAATAAGGACCTTCTGGGGGAGGAGGTGGCCTGGGGATTGGAGAGCTGAACCTGGAAGGAGAGTCAGGTGAGGTGAGGTGCATGGCTTGATAGTTGGCCTTTCCTGCTTCAGTTCTTTCCTCTGATAATGATGCAGAAGACAGCTGTTTTACTCCTAGTGTGACTGGCTGGAGTAAAGTTTGCACTCATGGCTTCTGATTCATTGTCTGTGGCTTTCGGTGCAAGTCCAAGACTGGTATAATCTTTCCGGTGGGAATCGAGTTAGAGTAGAAATGTATGTTACATTTCTTGGGATCAGCAAGTTTTTCAGCTGCCACCATAAGATAACTGTATAGTCTGACTATGGTTCACAGTTACTTCAGTGCTTCTCCTGCGAACTCTTCTATTTTTCTCCCACAGTGCATTTTCAGAAATGAATGCCCTTATAGCCCAGAGAAAGTGCCCTTGACAAGAGATATGGGCCAATCCAGGATTCTTGGGTTGGTTCCCATATGAGCTACTGGCATGGCTTCCTTGGAGACCTGCTAACTTGGCTGGGAACCATAACAATTTGCATGCGTAGGGATAGATGAAGTAGTTCTGGACCATTTCCAAGTGGCTTAAGTGCAGCCAGGTTTGGGAACACCGGATACCATACTCTTTCATCTTGTTTTTATTGCACTTTCTTCAGTCTTCAGTATTATTTCACTTCAGTTCAGCCAATATATGAAAGTCAAACTAGGCAAAGCATTTTGCTGTGAATATAAATCCATAGTTTATTCTTTATTGAAGGAAACATAAATATAATGTGATTTTAACAATGTTTCTCAACTTTTTTTTTCATTATCACCTCCCTAAGGAACCTTTTAAGACATTTTCCCCTAATCACGCCCCTCAGCAAATCTTAACATCAAAAGGATACCAAAATTCTGTTTATGTTTATAAGTATCTGTGCTTTATACTTTAAAGAGTGAGATTGTTTTTATCCCCTCAAGAACCAATTTTCACCCCGTCGGGGGCAATATCTGTCATGTGAGTTCATGGATATGACAAATCACAGTGGGATTACAGTAGGAATATTATATGTCAGTTTAGCCTCCAAAGCTTTGTAAACTATTTCTCCCATCACCTCTGATGGAACATCATGACTCCATAATTTTTTCTTGTCCCTCAGTCTGTCATTCCCCTATTGCTTTCACTTTCCTAACATAGATCCCATCGCTCATCATTTTTCTCTCTTGTATGGAGACTTAGGAGTGAACTTAATTAAAATAGTAATCTGTGCAGCTCAAGGATAATTTAGGAACAGTGATTTCCTAAAACAGTCCTCTAAAGATCACCCATTTAGAAGAAAGAGCCTAGAGACTTATGGGGTATTAATGGTAAAACATAATAGATCTAAATATTGGAGGAAAGAAAGATATACATTTGGAACTTGCCTTTCAGAGAAAAAGATTACTCAAGAGTCCTATGTATTGGTCTCATCAGGCTTGGATATGGGTGCCCTCAGATATGGATCTGACTTCTTTATGTAAATTCGTTTGGGGTTGATGCCAGTGGAATATCAAGTTCCTTTTCTCTAGAAACAATGTAATCAATGACAGCATCTCCTCTCTGCTATAGAAACTACCAGAGGCATGCAGTGTTGGTGATGGGAGACCCTTTGTCACGAATCTACAAAATCTGTATATGGCAGTCACCAGACAAGAGGTCCAAGTGAGACAGAAGCATCAGGACGCTGGTGAGTAGCTCCAGAGGAACTTGGTTTCCCGGGGTTAAACTTAGGGTCTAGGTTTGTACAGTGTAGGTCTATGTTAGCTACTTGTGACTAAGTTTAGATTAATAAGACTTAAATAAAATGAAAATGTTATTTCCTCGCTTGCTCCAACCACATTTCAAGTGCTCAGCAGCCGCTAGAGGCTACAAGTTGGACAGCGGAGATACAGACCATTTCTGTCACTGCAGAAAGTTCTATTAAACTGATCTAGGCACTTAGGAGAATTAGTAAGAGAACCAGGAGAAAGATGAATCTCCATGCCTGACTGAGACTGATAGAAAATGTGTAGAACAGTTGGCTATTTTGAGTCAAGGAAGCTCTTTTCCTATCTGGTGAAAGTGGGCCTGGGACTCTTCAGAGTAGAAACAGAGCTTGTTGGAAGTCAGCTGGAAGTTGCATGTGTGGCTACTTCTTTCTGTTTATATATTAATTAGAGGCCCAGTACATGAAATTCATGCACGGGGAGAGGGGTCCCTCAGTCCGGCCTGCACCCTCTTGCAATCAGGACCCCTTGGGGAATGTCTGACTGCCAGTTTAGGCCCAATCCCACAGGGATCCCTGCAGAATAGGGCCTAAACTGGCAATCAGACATCCCTCCCGCAAACTGGACTGCTGGTTCCTAACTGCTCGCCTGCCTGCCTGCCTGCCTGATCTCCCTTAACCACTCACCCTGCCTGCCTGATCACCCCTAACCACTCACCCTGCCTGCCTCATTTCCCCTAACCACTTGCCTGCCTTCCTGATTACCCCTAACCCCTCTGCCTGCTTGTCTGATCGCCCCTAACCACCTCTGTCTGCCTACCTGACTGCCCCTAACTGCTCTCCTGCTTGCCTGCCTGACCACCCCTAACCACTCTGCCTGCCTGCCTGATTGCCTCTAACTGCTTGCCTGTCTGCCTGATCACCCCTAACTGCTCTGCCTTGGCTTCTGCTGCTGTGGCTTCATCTAAAAGGACAGGATTTCCAGAATGATGTCTGAGAGTTTGATTGGCTGTCTGGTCTAATTAGCATATTAAGCTTTTATTATTATAGATACCAACCCTAGCCTTTGTCAAATGCCTGGTAAATTCTGATATTTTCCTTGATCTTTCTGAGTTTAGGAGATCCTCAGACCTCAAGTAGTGCCTCTGCACAAGGAACTGATAGCCAACTTCTGAACCAGCCAGAAGAGCCAGTTTCCTCATCACCATCTCTCCCAGTGCCTGACAAAGAAGAGCCCACAGTGAGTCCTGAGGAGCTTCCTGGCTGGAGTTCTAATCATTGATAAGTCCATAGCCTCTAAGTCTGTGGTTCCTGGAATTGCCACCTAGTTTATTCTGCTTTAATAATTTTGGGGGATATTTGTCACCAGGCTTCTAAACTGTGGCTTTCTGGATGGACCTTGACTTCTTTACTATCTTAGCCACTTCCAGTGATGGTCTGTGAGGTTATTTCCTAGAGGAGAAGGGATATAAGCACCTCCTGCATATATTTTTTAATTGATTTCAGAGAGGAAATATCAATGATGAGAGAGAATCATTGATTGGCTGCCTCCTGCATGCCCTACACTGGGGATTGAGCCCGTAACCCAGGCGTGTGTCCTGACTGGGAATTGAACCATGACCTCCTGGTTCATAGGTCAACCTTCAACCACTGAGCCTCACTGGCTGGGCATCCTGCCTAGGGTGTTTGTTTGTTTGTTTGTTTGTTTGTTTGTTTTTTATCGCATAGACTCCAAAACACTGTGTCAACCACCTCAAGAAGGCCTCATCCTAACCAGAGCTGTAGGAGGAAGAAAGGTCCTTTCCTAACTGAAGTGGAACTGTTCAAAACCCCTATTAACTTAGGTTGCTTTTTTCTCTAGGGTACTTCAGGCCCTGTGAAGAGACCTCAGCTGTCCAAGGTCAAGCGGAAGAAGCTAAGGGGGCTCTTCAGTTAAGCCACTGTCTCAACTGCTGAGGACAGAGAGAACAGTTACTGGTGCCACTTTGAAAGGAGCTTTTGGGGCAACAGGATCTCTGACACAGTTATGTCATCAGAGGCTGGATCACTAAAGTTCATATTCACAGGCCACCTGAATGAGTGCTATTAACTGAGAGAATCTTGGCTCCACCCATTGGGCATTGGCCTGTCCCAGTGGAAGCCAGGCTCTGAGAATCCCATACCTTCCTCTCTTTTGGTGGAGACTCTCTAGACCCACGACCCTACCATGGACTTTAGGTGTACAGAACAAGTCAGCAAAAAATAAAAATAAAAAAAAAATGGCACAACATGCTTAGGAAGCCTTGCCTACCTTTCTCAAGAGTCCCTAGCCAATTCCAGGTGCTCCTCAGAGACCCACTTCTCTCTTTAGCATGGAACAAAAAGCACTCACACTCCCCTGCTTTTGAGAGTACTTATTCTTTGGAACACATTACCCACTTCACGTTACTGGATCCCACTCCATTGTTGTCTCTTATAAAGTCTAGGGCCTCAGCCCAATCATTTTGTTCCTCATATGCTTCTCTATTATGGCTTGTGCTAAGCTTCCATGTGGGAACTTTGATCTTGTGAACAGTCTCCATGGTGGGCACAGGACAGAGCAGATGGCTTATGCTCTCTTTTGCCTAATTGATGTGGTAGTGGTGTTTTGTGTTTCTAAGTCATAGACAACAGGTTAAACTACAGTAGGGCCAAGGTAGTTTCCCACTGGAATGAGAGAAAAAACTTTTTTACCTTCCCATCTTTTGCTCCACTTCAAATAACATAGTAACTAGAAGACCTAGAAAAGATAGGATGACAGGGAACAGGAAATTGCCACAGGAGTTCTCTGGGACAACATAATTGACTTATAGAATGAATAGTGCTTAGTAAGAAAAAACATAAAGGCCGTATGAGATAGTCAGAATCTTAGAAAGTCAACTCTGACAGATCTGGACAATGTAGCAGACCAGATTGGCAAAATCCCTTGTCCTTCTCTGCTAAGTTTTCCTATATGGGTATACCATCTGAAACTCTACCTTGGAGAGACAGGAAGGAAAGTAGAACTCAGATGGTAACTGGGCTCTGTAGGGTAGAGGAAGGGGTCAGGGGCAGAACCCACAGAGGCCTTTTCTGGTTTATTTACATATGGTGGTCAAATACTTCTTCACCCTCATATTCTCTCTGGGATTGGTGTTTCTGTCCTTATGTCAAGTTCTGGGGGAGTGGGCAGTCCAAGCAATAATAAAATAATGATTATAAAGAAAATAACAATAATAACATTTATTGAGCAGTTAATGTATACCAGGTTAATAAGTGTCTGACATTGATTCCTCACAGCATCAGATGGGGAAGATACTGCTAACTCACTAGGATATGGAGTCTTAAAGAGATTAAGTGGCACCAAAACCGTTTGGACTGAAAGGTTCCAGGTTCGATTCTGGTCAAGGGCATGTACCTTGATTGAGGGCGCATCCCCAGTGGGGGTTGTGCAGGAGGCAGCTGATTGATGATTCTTTCTCATTAATGTTTCTAACTCTCTATCCCTCTCTCTTCTCTCTAAAAAAATCAATAAATATATTTAAACAAAAGAGAGAGAGAGATTAAGTGGTTTATCACACAACTTATAAGTAAGAATTTGAACCAGGCAGCTGAGTTCCACATTCTATACATTACTGAAAACATTTTTCTGGGAGGATGCCAGATTCTCCTTTCCTATCTTTCACTGTGACATCCTTCAATGGCCCTGCCTACTTTTAATAGGATGTTCTAGTTTTCATTGCTTTTCAAGGCAGGAAACTTTAAAGACTCCGGGACTTACCTCCATGTCCTCGCCTGCTGGTACAGTTGGAGAGCGTCACCAGAGCTCATCCCAGTTGCTGCTGTTAACTGTCTTTACCTCCAGACCTCAGTGTCGTAAGGTGTACTCAGTTGTGACTGTCATTGAAGTGAAGTCATTGGGAATCAAGTGAAATCAATCTATAAATGCCTCATTTTGTTCTTTAGTCTCTTTTTGGCATAATTTAGGTAATCAGATTCAAGGATCTACAAGATATGAGACCACATGGAAAGTGGAAAGACTTCCCCAGCAAGCTGGGAGGAAATATGGGTTCTTCACCTGGATAACCCCTCTACCTTAAGAGCACAGTCTCCAGAGTAGGCCTTTCTCATCACAGGGGGTTCTGGGGTTTGTGAGTCCCCCCAAATTATAAGTAAAATTCTAGAAGCATAACTTTGTTTCATGTTCTCAAAAGAATGTGCACTTTAAAAAAAAAAAAAAAAGGTTAAGTAAGAATATGCCTAATCACCTCTCTGTCCACTGCCCACTGTATCCCCCAAAAGTTGCTGTCTCCATGGGGATATTGCCCAAACAACCTTCTATAAACATTGCTTCCAGAGGCCCTGCCTCAGGCATTCTTGCCCTGAACCTCTTACCCCCAAAACCTAGGGGTGGTGGTTGAGAATATTTCGTCCCAGGGCAACTCCAGGGAAATCCCTGCCTTGACAAATTGGCCTAACCAGGCTGTATTCCAGCCCTGCCCCCTGGCTTGGGCCCCTCCCCAAGGCCCCCAGCCTGGCCCAACCCCCACTCCACATGCACATAAAAGGGTCGAATTCTCGTGGCTGCTCCATAAATTTTATTCCGTAAATATTAGTTTTCCCTGTGTTTAATAAAGCAGTGGCCCACCTCCCCGCCTACCCGCCCGCTCCCCGGGGCCGGGGCTGGGGCCAGGGCTGGCTGGTGGGAGAAGGGACTCTTTCAATTGCTTTGGAGTATTTTTAGAAAAAAAAATAATATAAGGTGGTTTACACGAGCCAGCCAGCAAACCAGGAGCAGGACTAGAGACCTCGAGGAAGTTCCTGCAGGAACTTGACCTAAAAAGTAGAGAAATAGCGCCACCTAGGCTGCAAGGCCTACTTGTCCTGGCTGGCCGGCTCCTCCCTCCCCCACAGTCAGCTAGGACTGGCCCGCTCTTTGCTGGAAGAGAAATCTTCACCCCTTAGCGCTCCAGCTGGGCAGCATCTCCTTTCCTCAGGCCTTACAGAGGGTTCTCCCAGCAGTCCTTGAAGGCAGAGCTCAAGCTGGGTCCTGGAAAATCCCACTGGGGTTATTCTCTTTCCTCCCGTGACAGGCAGCCAGTCTCCCAGATCAAGGAGTGTTTCCAAAGGATAGTGACATTATTGAGAAGGTAGGAAGGAGCGCCTAGTCTCTGTCTTCCCACTGAATCCTGAGGCTGGCCCTGGAGTTCTTAGGGTGTAAGGTGGCAGAGAGTGAAATTGGTGCTCCTTGGCTCTGCACCTGGAATCTCTCCCTGTCAGATCTAGAGCCTCCCACGCATCTAATGCAGGTCCCCACAGTGAGATACTCAAGTCTCCTGCATACTTAGCCCTCCTGCTTCTTAATTTTATCCTGTGGTACATCTGAACTTGCTTTTCTTGCCTTTTTATTCATTAAGACCTCCCATTTTCCGAAGCCCTTATATCCTCCTCCTCCTCACTGGTCCTCTGGAGATAAGCAGGAGTCCATGTGTCACTATCCATAGGAAGATGGCAGAAGGAGCAGGAATAAAAAGTCATGCCTTTTCTGGTCCTGATTCAATCTCCTTAACATTGTCACCAGTGCATTTTCTTCTTTCCAATTATTATGTTTCCCATTTTCTCCCAGTGTTTTTTTTTTTTAACTGGGTTTTGATACAATTAGGAGATGCTTCTCTAACCTTCGAATTTTCCTGAAAAAACTGTTCAAAAGGAGTAAGTGACATACTACACGGAAGCCACCATACTCAGAGCTCAAGCCCTTGGTTCCTAGTCTCTGGTATCAACATCAGTAAACCTTCAGACTCACAAAATTTTAATGGGTCATGCCAGGCACCTAGATACAGAGAGAAATGCCAGAGGAGAAGGGAGCCACTCTTGGGAGGAAGGGTTTTTTCTAAGACCACCTGGGAGCTTCTACTGGGTATTCCTGTTGAAGGCTGCTGCTGCTCTATTTTTCATGTTCTCTTGGACAGGGCCTCCAAAGATCCAACCCTGATTGGGAGGGTGTGAGGTGTCCATGTCTGAGGGAGAGGGACCTAAGAGAATCCCTCTCTACTTGAGGAACCACAAGCCCATCTAGCCTCCCTATTTCACCCCACAACTCAGAGGACTACTTTCTCATCTCCTAAGACTTTGCTTTGGCGGTCCTTTCTGCTTCCCCTCAATTCTGGGGTCTCATGTATCTACTAAGGCTCATCGGGAGTCATTAGGTAGCATGACTTCTGAAGCATTCTAGCAAAGGTTCCATTGCTTTTCCAACCTGTTAAATCCTACCTGCACTCAGTAACTCTGGGAGGGTAGCAGGTTTTGCTGTGCTTTCCACACTCCCTTTGAATGAATGCTCACTTCTCCTCACCTAAGTTTCATGGGTTTTGAAGGCTCTGGGCTAGCCTGGGGGAACCCGGAAGAGGCATTGGAAGAACTCCAGGGTGTGGGGAGCACCCAGTCATTGACTCACCTGGGAAGACTGGGCCAAGGGCCAGGAGTTAAAAGAGCATACAGTACCATACTCTTCCTCCCTGCACTCGGGCCAAAATCAGTAGCAGGGTTAGAATTGGGGACTAAGACTCTGGGGCTGCTTGGAGTCCCTTTTGAAATCTGGGTGTTGTATTTACTTTTTCATACTGGCAGCTGGAAGGGGAAGCCCATCCCAGCTCGGCATTGTTGTCTAACATGGTTAATCAGATCCTATAATCCTGCTGTGGAAATATTGGGCCTCACTCAAAACAATAGAGACCAAGAATATTGTGGTTAAATTTCAACCAACTGCCTCCCTGGCCTGTTTGCCTAACCTCTACCCCCCTCTCCCGGGCCAGAGTCCTCCTAGCTTTATGGACCCCTGATAGGATCGACAGCAGTCAGAAATTGGTGACGGGAGAAGAAGGGAGAATGGAGTAGGGGAAGGGTAATCCTCTTGATTGGCTCTCTATCCTGCCTTTC